TGTCTTCCTCCGCCGCTGCTTTCTGAAAGGCCCCAAACCAGAGACTGTCATCCAAGCTCCCCAGAAACACCGAGGGGCCCCAAGACACACCTAGGGGGCCCCAAAGAGATCCCACGCTTCCAGGGTCCGGGGAACCACAATTTGATGCGCAGTTTTCTTCTCGTCTCGGGAGCCCGCCGCCTCCTCTCTCTCTCTCTCTCCTCTTTCTCCCTCTCCTCGTCCTCACTCTCCTACCTCTCTCCCCCTTTCTCTTCCGCCGCACTCTCCTGATCCTTTCTCGTCTCCTCCCTCCTCCAGCACGGCCTTCTCATACTCTTTCTTCAGCGGTGCCAGAAACCAACATCTGATGCTCAGCTTTCCTTCGAGCTCGTTCACGACTACGCCGCCGCCGACGACGACGACGATCTGGACCGCAGCGTCACTAGAACGGTGAAAGGATCAAGATTAGAAGGCGAAGCGCAGCGAGCCTTGAAATCTTGTATATCCGTAAGGGCTTCGCCCCCTGCTGCCGACCCCCTCTCTCGGATAATGGGCTACGCAAGAGCTAAATCATCAGGCCTCGGCGCAGCCGTGAAGCAGCGTCGGGACTTCATCGGCAAGACAAATTGAGATTTTGATGATATTGTTGAATTCGGTGTTGCATTTCGAGCTTGCTCGCGTATGCTATGCAGAAAGCTTTTCTACGAAGTATTGAAACGTTGCAAATCCCATGTGGTTTTTGATCCTGACCCCACCGATCTGCATGAGGAGTGCCACCGAATTTCAAGACATGTGGCAAATCCCATGTGTTTGTCGACCCTGACCCCGACGATCTGCATGAGGAGTGCCACCGAATTTCAGAAATGTGACAGATCCCATGTGTTTTGGGACCCTGACCCCGCCGATCTGCGTGACGGGGGCCACCGAATTTCAAGACATGCGACAAATCCCATATGTGTTTCGACCCTGACCCGCCATCTGCGTGAGGGGTGCCACCGAATTTCAGAAATGTAGCAAACCCCTTGTGTTTTCGACCCCTGACCCTGCCGATCTGCGTGAGGGGTGCCACCGAATGCCAGAAATGTGGCAAGTCCCATGTATTTTTCGACCCTGACCCCGCCGATCTGCGTGAGGGGTGCCACCGAATTTCAGAAATGTAGCAAGTCCCTTGTGTCTTTTGACCGTGACCCCGCCGATCTGCGTGATGGAGAGAGCGTGATCCACCGCCGCTTTACTGTGGAGAATTGCCAACCTTTTCCTCTGGAACCTGGGGGTCGCCCCCCCCCCCCCCTCCGAAAATACCCCCCCCCCCTGCTGGAACCCCTCCCCCCCCCCCCCCTCCGGATCCGGAAAACCGGGGGGGGGGGGGTCACTACCGGTTCGAACCCCTCCCCCCCCCCCACTCACCGCCAGCAAACGACTCCCGGTCCCTACCACCGTCCGCATCACATCCCCCACTGTTGTTCCCAGCACCACTGTCCTCACCACCACTGTCCCCACTGTGTCCCCACCAGTGCCCCCACCACTGTCGCACTGTCCCCACTGTCCCCACCACTGTTCCCACCACGATTCCACTCTCCCCACTGTCTCCACGGCCCCAACCACTGCCCGACCATCCCCACTGTCCCCACTGTCCCACTGACTCCGCCGCTGTCCCACTGAGCTGTCCCACTGTTCCCACCACTGTCCCCACTGTCCCCACCACTGTCCCCACTGTACCTCTGTCCCATTGTCCCACCGCCGTCCTCGCCACCGCCTTCACCACTGTCCCCACCACCATTGTACCCTCCACTGTCCCACTGTTTCCACCTCATTCCCACTGTGCCCACACCACTGCCCCCACCACCACCGTCCCCACCACTGTCCACTGTCCCCCCTGTTCCCACCATTGTCCCCACCACTGTCCCCACCACTACCGGCCCCTACTGTCCCACTGTCCCACTGTCCCCACCACTGTCCCGCTGTCCCCTCACCACTGTCCCCACCAACACCGTCCCCACCACTGTCCGCACCCCCACTCGGTTTTCGAGGGGGGGGGGGGGGTTCGAACCGGTAGTGACCCCCCCCCCTTTTCATGATGACTGGGGGGGGGGGGGGGAGGGGTTCGAACCGGTAGTGACCCCCCCCGGTTTTCCGGATCCGGAGGGGGGGGGGGGAGGGGTTCGAACCGGTAGTGACCCCCCCCGGTTTTCCGCCAGCAGCGGTAGAACACGCTCTTTCACGGGTGCCACCGAATTTCAGAAATGTAGCACATCCCTTATGTTTTTAGACCCTGACCCCGCCGATTTGCGTGAGGAGGGCCACCTAATTTCAAACAAGTAGCAAATCTTACGTGTTTTTGGACCCTGACCCCGCCGATCTGCATGAGGGGTGCCACCGGATTTTAGACATGTGGCACATCCCTTGTGTTTTTGGACCTTGACCCCGCCGATCTGCGAGAGGGGTGTCATTCTCGACCCCCCCAGAAATTCTGAGCACGCGATCTGGGCGTGGTAAAAATGGCGGTTTGTGGCTCCCCCCCTTCGCGCGGTCTACAACACGGAACAGTAAGAAGCAAGAAGCATACTTAAAACAGTGGAAACTGGAAACTGGAACTGGTGCAGGGAACAGCAAGCCCTCGCCCTACAACCTGGTGGCCCCACAAGGGGGCCAGCGGATATATATATATATATATATATATATATGTATACAACATACACATACACGTACACATCGCCGTTACGAACGTTATTCGGATGTGTGTCACTTCGCCCGATTGCATAACATTCCCGCGAACATGAACTCCCCGCGATAGCGGCCCCGAGGGGGGCGATGGCCCAGGTGGCGTTGAACACCCCTGCCCTCCTAGACGCCTGGCAAGACACCCCTCCTGCGCGGTCATCGGTTTATATCCCACTAGTATGTTTTTAGTGCGGGCATGCGTAAATCGCACCCATAAAAACAGGGTGCCCGTAAATCCAGGGAGGGATGCAGATCCCGCTAGATGATTGCGTCTTGACGCTTTCTCGGGGGCAAATTGAGAGCGGCTCTTGCGGGTTTCTATCGTGACTGTTCGTTAGTAGTCTCCGGGATTATTCGTGTTGACCCCCCGACCCCGCCCCCCCCCGTAACGGTAACCTTTTGGAACCGTTTTATAGGACCTTGTAGAGACCCCCATGCAGCTCGTACAGATCTTAACACGATTTTTTAGAGCTATCCACGAGCCACCCGTTGAAATGCGAGGAGGGGGAGGGAGGAGGAAGAGGAAGAGGTGCACACAGCTGGTGCGCTTGCGTAAGTACCGGGTTGTAAATTGGCGGCGTGGTGCACGAAAACATAGTGGTGTGTGCATTGCGTCGTGGGCCAGAAAAGTCGATAATCACACATAAGTTACATTTTGAATTGATGCGCTGATGGGCCCGCTACGAATTTCCCGAGTTGTTGCTCCTATTTGGGTCTATGGAGGTGTACATCGGCTTTGTGGTGTACACAGGCGTGTACACAAGCACTGTGGTGAAGGCAGGCGCGAACGGCTGTGGTGCGCACGGCTGCTGTGGTGGCGCAAGCGTTGTGTTGTATGTACACCAGCGCTCTGGTGCACGAGGGTATTGCGGGCCCAAGACAAAGTACCAGATCGTGCCTTCGGCCTGAAAAGTCAATAATCGCAGATACCTTACTTATTCAGTGTGATAGGTTCGGGCCTATCGCGGTCTTCTGGATTTTGGGTCCCGTCGGGACCTTGGGATGTACACATGCGTTGTGGTGTACACAAGAATTTCCCACAGTCGCCAGAAGCTGTGGTGCACATGGCTTCTGTGGTTGCGCTAGCATCATGTTGTACAGGCGCTGTGGTGCATGCAGGCGGTGCGCGCTCAAAACACAGAGTGGACCGTATCCCAGGCCAGTAAGTTCAAAAGTCACATATTTTTCATATGAATTCGATAGGTTCGGGCCTCACGCCCCCGATGACGCAAGTTGCCCCCAACGGATACAAGAACCTCATGGATTTTTTTGTTGCGGCCAAGTATGTGTACCATACTCTTTCTATTTTATACACATATACACATATCTATCTATCTATCTATCTATCTATCTATCTATCTATCTATCTATCTATCTATCTATCTATCTATCTATCTAGATATATATGATGTAAACATATATATATATATACACATCACAACCTCTCTGTCTCTCTCTCTCTCTCCCCCGTTCCGCTGCCGCCGGCGTGCTCCCTTGCCGGGCAGGTGACGTGCCGAAACCGCCGCCGCGGCCAGCCGCTGGCGGAGGCGAGGCCGCCAGGAAGCAGCAGGCGTGCGAGCTGAAGTGCATCTGCGGCGCGGCGGAGAAGGCGCTCCCATCGACGCAAATGGTGTTTGTGCGTGCGTGTTGTGATTATTATTGTTGTTAGTGGTGGTGGTGTAGTTGAATTCTCATTACTGAAGGGTAATTATTGTTGATCCCCCCCGCCCAGTGCACATGGTATTTTTTCAATTGAAGTGCCCCTCCCGGGGCTCGCACCTTGTTTTTTGTCAGGGAAAGTCTTGAGGGTCAAACTGTGTCGTGGGCCTCCGGTTTAAAACAACAAATGCTCCCGCTTGATATTTTCTCTAACAATTTATGGTATAATCGCGCTCTCGCTTGGGACTTCCTGGCAATTTACCACCGAATCGCGGCTCTTGCTTGATATTCCTGACAATTTATTGCAGAATCGCGTTCTCGCTTGGGACTTCCTCGCAACTGATCACCGAACCGCTTCGCTTGATATTTCTTCACAATTTATTCAGATGCCGGTCTTCGACACTCAGGAATCGCACTCCCGCTTCAACGACCTGCCCGCTCGACCCGCTCGTCGGGGCCTGCCCGCCCGACCAGCCCGTTAAAGACTGCAGTCGCCGCTCGCTGCCCTTCGCCCGCCTTCGATGCCCTCCGCTGCCCGTACTGGTTCCGTGGTCGCCTTCGCTCGCTGCCCTTCGTGGCCCCGTTGTTGCCCTCAGTGGCCCCGTCGCTGCCCTGTGTGGCCCCCCGCATTATATGCCCTTCGTGGCCCCCGCTCGCACGCGCCCGTCGTGGCCCCATACGCATGCCCTTCGTAGCCCCGCTGTCGCCCTGCGTGGCCCCCTCGCTGCCCTTCGTGGCCACTTTGCTGCCCTCAGTGGCCCCGCCGCTGCCCTCTGTGGCCTCGGATTTTATGCCGTTCGTGGCCCTCGCTGGCTTTTCTCACGATTTACTTGGGAATCGCACTATCGCTCGAGACTTCCTCGCGATTCATGCAGGACCCACGCTTCAGCAACCCGCCTACTCGACCTCGTCGCCTGGGCCCGCCTTCCCGACCTGCCCGCTATGGGTCTGCCCACCCGATCTGCCCGTCTGGTTCTACCATTTGTTTTCTGTTCCTTGCCCCCCTCCTGCTAATTCCTCGTGTTCCATTCTTCTCCCTCCCCCTTCCACCCGACCTCTCTTCCCTTGTTTTAGCGGCTGCACTAAATACACATGGCAGGTAAGGAAGACCCCCGAGAGGGTACGATCGAAGACGACGAGGGCGGGTACTGAGGGCTTGGGATATACGTATTGGTGGGACCGTGAGCAGATTGGAGCGAACAGTCTTAAAATGATTGTTGTTGTTATTGCCGTTGTTGCTGTTGTTGTTGTGGTTGTGAGTTTGGTTGCGGTTGTGGTTGTGGTTGTAGTTTTTGTTGTTGTGGTTGTTGGTTGTTGTTGGGAAGCGGGCGCCGGGCCCCGGCGCTCCCCTTCCCAACAACGGCGACGACGACAACAACAACAATAATTTTAAGACTGCTCGCCCTTATGTGCTCGAGTGTCCAATAACGCGTATTTCCCAAACCCTCGATACCCGCCCTCTTCGTCGTCGATCGAACCCCTGTTGGGGGGTGTACCTTTCTTCCCTGCAGGCCGGGCCCCGGCAAGCGGCGGGGCGGCCGCGGACCGTCGGCCTGGCCAGCGGCAGCGCTGATCGGCGGGGCGGCCGCGGACCGTCGACCCGACCCCAAGAGGGACGGACAGGGGACCGACCACGACGACGACGACGACGTCGACGTCGAAGATGACGGCGACGACGACGACGACGGCGACGACGAGCGAAAGCGAGAGCGAGAGAGAACGACAGCAGGGCCACGAAGGGCACGAAGTAGGTCACGAAGGGCGACAGCGGGGACACGAAGGGAATGCGTATGGGGCCACGAAGAGCGCGAACGAGCGGGGGCCACGAAGTGCAGATAATGCGGGGCCACAGCAGGCAACTATGGGGCCACTGAGGGTAGGAACTGGGCCACGTAGCACAGTGCGGGGGACACAAATGGCGACAGCGGGGCCACGAAGGGCATGCACATGGGGCCACAACGGGCGCGACTCCTGGGTGCCTGGGTGTCGGGAGCGCGGCGCTTGGGCAAATTGCAAGACATTCCAACGCAAGGCCATTCTTCAGTAAGTTGCAAGCAAGTCTCCAGCGAGAGCGCGACTCCAGAGCGCCGGGAGGGCGATTCCTTAATAAATTGTAAGGAAGTCCCAAGCGAACGCGCGATTCCTGAATCAAATGCGAGGAAGTCTCGGGCGGGAGCGGAGGTCCTGGCTAAATTGTGAGGAAGTCTCAGGCTGGAACCGTTGTTGTTGTAACCCGGGGGCCAGGGGGCCAGTTTGAGCAGGAAGACTTTCCCTGTCGAAAAACAGGGTGCGAGCGTCGAGGGGCACACTTTGATTAAGAAAAAACAGTATGCACCGGTGGGGGGGGGATCAACAATAATTATTTTTCAGAAGCGAGAATTCAACAATGCGGACGGCTACCGCTCGAGACGTCCTCGCAATCCACTGAGGAGTGATGGATTCCTGCACTGGGGCTTCGGCGCCCCCCCCACACCCCTACGTCCCCGCACCCCCACGCCCCCAGGCACCCAAACGGCCCCCAGGCACCCAAAGGGACGCTCTGTAGGGATCCAACTCGGCCTCCTCCCAGGTCTCCTACAAGACACGGTCCCATCGTCTCGGTCCGCCGTCAATTGAGAAAAGGATGATGATTATGATGAAGCTGATGATGATGGTGGTGGTGGTGATGATTATAATGCGGATGATGATGATGATGATGATGATGATGGTGGTGGTGATGATGATGATGACGATGATAATGATGATGATGATGATGCTGATGATGATGATGCTGATGATGATGATGCTGATGATGATGATGATGACGATGATGATGATGATGATGATGATGATGATGATGATGATGATGATGATGATGATGATGATGATGGCGGCGCCTCCTCCGGGACTCGCGCGCCGCACAGCGCGTCGGCTCACGCTGCGGGCGCTCTCGCCAGGCTGCCCGTTGCACTGTGGCCGCGCCCACGGGCCTCGGGCAGCTGTCCCCAATTGGGCGGCACGCTGCGGCCCTGTGCCTGTCCACGGTGGTTCGTCACGTGCGTTCCGCGTCGCAGTTCGCAGGCGTTTCGCGCCCCCAGCTCTTCCGGGCCGCGTGCTCCGAGCCATCTCCTTTGCTACACCGTCGGCAGTCGACGTCTGGCCCAGGCCGCGGCGCCTCACGCGCGTGCGCCGGGGACGTGCCTCGGGCGCGCCGCGGGACCTCCGTGATCTGCTCGGCCTCTTTCTCCTCCACGGTCTCTCCTCTCCCGCCCTCGCGCCCTCCTCCCTCGCCCCTCCTCCCTCGCCCCTCCTCCCTCGCGCCCTCCTCCCCCGGCCCTCCTCTCCCGCCCCTCCTCCCTCGCGCCCTCCTCCCTCGCCCCTCCTCCCTCGACCCTCCTCCCTCGCGCCCTCCTCCCCCGGCCCTCCTCCCTCGCCCCTCCTCCCTCGCGCCCTCCTCCCTCGGCCCTCCTCCCTCGCCCATCCTCCCTCGCCCCGCCTCCCTCGGCCCCCCCCCCTTCCCCCCTCGCGCCCTCCCGAGCGCGTGGCGGCGGGGCCACTGCGCAGGTCGCCAGCGGCAGCAAGGACGACTTTGTGACCTGCCGCGTCTGCGGCTTCTGGCTCCACTTGAGCTGCGTGGAGGGCGCGCTGCGCAGGCTCTCGCCACGTCTGCTGCTCTCCTCTTCCTTCCCTCCCCTCTCCTGCCCTCCCCTCTCCAGCTCTCCCCCTCCCCTCTCCCGCCCTCCCCTCCCCTCTCCCGCCCTCTCCTCCCCTTTCCTGCCCTCTCCTCCCCTTTCTTGCCCTCTCCTCCCCTCCCCCTCCTCTTCCTCCTCCTCCTCCTCCTCCTCCTCCTCCTCCTCCCTCTCCCGTTCCCTCTTCTCATCAATTTCTTCCCCTTTCTCCATCGTCCGCCTTCGTTCGTCCTCCTTCTTTCCTTCCACGTGCTCCATTATCTGTCCCTGTTCCTTCCTCCGTCTTCGATCTTGCCTTCTATTTCCCATCGGCCCGCTGGTGATGGACCGATACATCTTGACGTATGACATATAGTTGATATCTAGTTTCTCAAGCCCATCCCACATCAATGTTTCCAGGGTGGTCGAAGGAGGAGGAGGTCATTGACTCCCCCTCATCGCCCCCCCTCACCAGCTTCTTCGACTCGCCCTCTTCTGAGACTTCCTGCCCTCATCGACTCGTGGAGAGGGAAGGAGGAGGTCCTCAACTCCCCCCTCTCCCCCAAATTCCGGCCGCTCGTCCTCTTCTGAGACTTCATGCCCCCATAATTCGTGGAGACAGGGGAAGCAGGTCGTCAACTGCTCCCCCGTCTCGACTCCTCCCCCTTGTCCTCCCCCCAGCCTTGACGCAGAAGGAGGAGAGTGGGAGATGAAATTGATGATAATCATGATGCTGATGATGATGATGGTGGTGGTGATGATGCTGCTGATGATGATGCTGGTGTTCATGATGATCATGATGATGATGTTGGTGGTGATGATGATGATGATGATGGTGGTGGTGGTGATGGTGATGGTGATGATGATGATGGTCATGATGATGGTCATGATGATGGTGATGATTATGCCGATTTAAGGTTATGATGATGCTGGTGATGATGATGATGGTGGTGGTGGTGGAAATGGTGGTAGTGGTGGTGGTGGTGGTGGTGGTTGTGGTGGTGGTGATGATGATGATGTTGATGATGATGATGATGATGATGATGATGATGATGATGATGATGATGATGATGATGGTCTCCTACTAGGCCTCCTCCCAGGTCTCCTACAAGGCACGGTCAACAGCTGGTAGGATCCCTATAGGGATCCTATGACAGCTGGTGGGGTCCCTATCTATAGGGATCCTGTTACAGCTGGTAGGACTCCCATAGGGATCTTATTGCAGCTGGTCGGATCCCTACAGGGATCCTATTACAGCTGGTGGGATCCCTATAGAGGTCCTATTGCAGCTGGTGGATCCCTATAGGGATCCCCTAATTCCGGCCGCTCGTCCTCTTCTGAGACTTCATGCCCCCATAATTCGTGGAGACAGGGGAAGCAGGTCGTCAATTGCTCCCCCGTCTCGACTCCTCCCCCTTGTCCTCCCCCCAGCCTTGGCGCAGAGGGAAGAGAGTGGGGGATGAAGCTTATGATGATGCTGCTGATGATGAGGACGATGACGATGACGATGATGGTGATGATGATGATGCTGATGCTGGTGCTGGTGCTGGTGATGATGCTGCTGATGCTGATGCTTCTGCTGCTGCTGATGAAGATGAAGATGAAGATGAAGATGAAGATGAAAATGATGATGCTGATGATGATGATGCTGCTGATGATGAAGATGATGCTGATGATGATGATGATGATGATGAGGAGGAGGAGGAGGAGAGACTGAGGGGAGAAGGAGGAAGAGAGAAGAAGGAGAGAGAGAGAGATGGGAAGAGAGAGACAGAGAGAGAGACCGAAAGGAATTTATGAGCATGAAGGAGCCAAGAGGAGAAGGAGGAAGTTGAGCCCATGATGAGGAAGGCCTGAAAGATGAACATCAACGTCGGCCTCGGTGCGCGCCCTCGTGGAGGAAAATGAGTAGCAGGGCACGGCGACGATGGTATGATTGTGGCATGGCTATTATTGACGATGGTGATGCTGATGATGAAGATGTCGATGGTGACGATGGAGATGCTGACGGTGACGGTGACGATGCTGATGATTGTGGCGATATTGGTGGTGATGATGACGGCCATGATGTTGTTGTTGATGGCGATGATGAGGATGGCGACGATGACGATGATAACGAGAAAGTGCGAGGAGTTGAGGAGGAAGGGGAGCTTGACGAGGAGGAGGAGGAGGAAGCCATGAGGAGGAGGAGGAGGAGGCGGAGGAGGAGGAGGAGGCAGAGGAAGAGGAGGAGGAGGTGGAGGAGGAAGACGAGGAGGCGGAGGAGGAGGAAGAAGAGGTCCCGAGCGATGAAGGGGGCGTCTGGTGACCGACCGCCCCTCAGCCAGAATCAGCAGACCACGGAGCGCTGCCCGCCGAAGGCGCACACCATGAGCAGGCCATGGGGCACGGCGCCCCAGACCCAAGACCGCCCGTGCCCCTGCCGCCCCCCGCTGCCACCACCACCACCCGCCAGACCCGGCGGCTCCAGAGACCGACCTCCGAGGGCGGGTCGCGGCCGCCCGCGTCACAGCGGACGGAGGCTCTGGCTTCGCCGACGGCGACGACGACCACTTCCGGGCCCACCGTGGGCCCGCGGCGACCGCGCGCGCGCGCGAGTCTCGGGGGCGATGGTGGGCGGCCCTCTGCCCTTGCCCCCGGCTGGGCCCGACGGGGGGGGGCTGCCCAGGCGTCGTCGAGCTCGCCGCGCTCGCCGCGAGGCTCGCCGGCGATCGCCATGCCGCCGCCATGCCGCCCGCCGCCGCCCCGGCCGCCCGCCTCTCGCCGCCGCCGCGAGCGTCAGGCGCTTCCGGGAGGGCCGACTGGCCGCCCGCGCCGCCGCGCCTGCGGCTCCGCCGCCGGCGCCGAGGCGCCGCCGCGTCGCTCGCGGGCTCCGCCGGCACGGGGGCCACCTCCGGAGCGCCCCTTGGCATCGCTCGGACGTGTGCATTTTTCCTCCGGCGAGGACCCTCGAGGAGCATCTTTCTTATCAGTTGGCGAAAGAAAGCCACGCACGAAACCGGAAAAAAACACAGGGAATGGACGTCCGAGCGATGGCCAGGCCCAGCGCAGCGGCGGCTGCGCGGAGTGGCCCCTCAGCCCGCGCGGGGCCGCCGCGCTCTCTCCTCGGAGCGGCCCGCGGCCAGGCCGCAGGCGGCGGGCCGCGGCCACGCCCTCCGCGTCGCCCCCCCGCAGCGCACCCGCGGCGGGCGCGCGCGACCGAGGCGGCGCGCGGCCCGGCGACGAGGGACTCGATCCAGCGAGGCTGGCGGAGGAGGAGGAGGAGGAGGAGGAGGAGGAGGAGGAGGAGGGTCGATCTCTGGGGCGCCGCCATGGAGGATGAGGGGATCAGATGATCAGTTGAGGACGCGAAGGAGGCGAGGAGTCCAGAAGGAGGGTTGGTATGAGCGGGAGGATGGGCACGTCGAGAGAGGAGAGCAGTTGAACACGGCCTGCCGACGCAGTGGAAATCCAGTCAAGCTGCAGGACTCACGCACTCACTCACTATCAGTATCCTAACTTTTCCATACGTGCAGGGCTAGCCTGCTTGACCTCAGAGGATGGCGCTGGCCACGATTGCTGCCAGGGTGCACCACCTGGTCATGTTGCAGCTGATGCCCACCACTGCGGTGCCATACTCCCCGCAGGCGGTCTCTTCGTTGCTGGAGTACGCCAGCGAGGGTGGGGAGCAGGCCGCTGGCAGGGGTGGTGTGACAAGCACTTACGACATCGAGGACAAGTCGTATTGGGCCGCCATTGGTATGAAGAACAAGGTTTGTGGAGGACGATCCAATGGAGAGGAAGCATGTTGCCAAATAATTTCCAGATGTCTAGAACATGTGTTAAACATGTTTTTTAAACATGTAAAAAAAACATGCTTACAACATGTTTCGAATCTTTCCCGACACGTGCAACACGTTTTGAATTCGATGGTAGGACTGTGAGGGCGTCCATTGTCGTGGCACCCCCAAAGCGAGGTGGGCGTCACCCGGTACCAAAACCACGAGTTCCAGAGGGTCCAGAGCACGGACGGCACCTTCTTCTGGAGCGACGCCGCCAACCACAACGGGAGCAGCTTCCGAGGCGCGCGGGACCTCGGCTCCAGCGTGGCCTGGGGCTGGCACCACCCGGCCGGCGTCTACAGCACCATCCCCGTCGGCAGCCCCCTCCTCGACGACCAGCTGAACGTCTACATCGGGGCCGACGACGCCATCCGCAAGTTCGACGTCTCCGGCGTCATCATGTGGAGCTATGCCCCTCGAGGCCAGCTCGCGGCGGCACCCAGCCTGTGTACCCCCACCGCCAGGCGCGTGCCGTCCTCCGTGCACCAGGAGGGCGGCAGGACCCCCGATTCGCGGTGGAGTCAGCAGGAGGACTTGCTGCGGCCCGATTGGGCCAAGGACAATGCGTCGGAGATGCCTTCCCTGGTCCTCATCAAGGACTTTCAGATCGGCGACCTCGTCGAGGTAAAGCCCGGCGCGAGCTACAGGGCGGAGGGCACGGTGCTATCCAGCG